TCAGTGTGTTTATTTATCAAAGTGTCTCTGTGTCTGTCTGTAAGGCTTTAATTAGTTTGGTGCTGCGCATATTAAATATACGCAATAAAATATTACGAATTTTTTTTTAGAACTTTATATTTACTTCCGTGTTATTTTATTTAATTCAACTTTATTCAATTTTATTCATTAACGGTAACAATAGTAGGCACGGAGGTTTTTTTTTCACATTTGCCGTTTTAAAATAAACAAATTAAAAAAACAGTTTAAGAACAGCGTTTAAAAAAGCAAAAGCCTGTTAATTTGTTTCTTATTAAAACAAACCCGAGAAACGAACATCAAACCTGGACAGCACTGTGCTAGTAGTTTAATTGTAACAATTAAAATTACTTGACTGTAAACAGCTAATGTCAATAATAAGCGTACACCTGGTTTTTGATACAGCAAAAGTAAAATCAATAATAACTATTGAATTAAGCAATGTTAATCATTTTTTTAATAATCTGCCCATGAAAATATAGTTTTATTATGATGTCAATACAACATTCAGTAAATCAAATATTAATTTTAAAGATATATACATACACATATGTCAAATAGATAATAATGTTTTTAAAAATGAATTGAGAATAAAAATTAATGGCATTATCTATGTACATTTTAGATTTTTTCATGGTACAAATCGTAGAGCAACACTACGAATATAAACAGTCAACTTTATGCATTATATTTTATTTTAAATTGAAGTTTGATAGCCTAGGCATAAGCAACATCTGGAATATTTTACACTGTCGTTATTGACAGTACGCGTGCAGAAAAAAATGAAACATGGAAGGCAAATGGAAATGTAAAAGCGCTCTTCAGAAAAACTTTTTTTTAAAAAAGATGATTCTTTTGGGGGACTGCCAACAAAACTGCCTAAAACCGGGAAGTTTATGAAGAGCTTAATAAAGCGATCTCTTTGTCTAAGGCACAAAAGCGAAAATATGTCGATGATCGAGAAATAATTTTTAAAATAAAAATAAAATAATAGTACCTAATATAATGTAAATGATAATACAAGTGTATTTCACTCAAATGTTGGTTATGTCTGTATATAAAAAGTAAATACACTGACAATTATGAATACATGTATTCGCAGTTGATTGGCATAGTGCTAACTAAATTATATATTCAAATACCAAATGTTATGTCTGTATATATATATATAAGTAAATACAGTGACAATTATGAATACAAATATTCGTAGTTGCTTGGCATTGTGCTAACTAAATTATATATTCAAATGCCGAGGTCTATGAAACCGATGAACTCTACTTCGTCTGCCCTATGTCTCCTAGGTACTAAAGGGAAATGATGATATTCGTTACGGTTATAGAAAACCGCTTATATGCATTAATACCAAATACATTAAAACCCTTTCAAAATTATACAATATGTCCAATACAAATCGAAATTACATTTTGTATGTGTGTTATAAGTAATTTTGTGATCTATTTTAAAAGATTCAGCCATTTAATTAACCAGTTTGTGACCAACAGGCCAGTAGTAGACTAATTGTCTAGGACAGGGTAAAGTCTCGTACTGCACTGGGTCAAAACAAAGAGGTATTTTAGACCAGTCCTCTACAGGTATTCTTGATATTGGTTCTTGAAACATCAAAGTTCGCTGTAATCTTGTTGGGAGTTTGGTCTGTTTTAGGTTTTCTTCTCTCATAGGTCCAGTCCCAAGTAAGGTGGAGACTTCAATAAAAGCTAGTTTGACCAGTGGCCAGGGTTGTTAGATTGCTGATTGTAATTCAGGTGGAATATTTAGCGTTGTGGCGTTGACCGAATCGTTTTCTTTAAACTTTCGCAACATTTGAAAGTCAGACTTGAATATCATTCCGATGGCGAAAAGGTATTTGACAAATACTAAACTTTCATAAGACATGAAGCGAGGAATGTTTAGTGCTTGAATCTATTTCCCAGAGGTTAAATGCCTTCAATAAAATGCAACCCAGAGGCGTATCCAGGTTTTCAGTGTAGGGGGAGCAAGCAAAAAAGGCGCCGAATTTGTAATATATATACATATATATATATATATATATATATATATATATATATATATATATATATATATATATATATATATATATATATATATATATATCTAATATATAAAGCTCAATTCTGTATGTACAAATTCATGTGTTTGTCGTTGACATACTTCTATGGATTTAAGTTTTAGACTATTTACCGTGCTCACAGTCTAAATTTATGAGTTAAAAAATTACTGTTGAAAGTGTTGGGAAATAATTTTCATTTTTCAAACTGATAGTAATAATTGTCGGCATGTTCATTAAACACAAGTTTTAAAAAAAAATATCATCTTTTACAAAAATTCTAATTATGTCTTTATTTAGTTCTATAGCACTTACTTCCCTTTGATAAATTAGGCAAAACACAATTACTTCCCTTTATAAAACCATTGCATTAGTATTAGTTGAAAAGAATTTACTTTTTAATTACTTTGTTTCGTTGTTGGGAAAAAAATAATTACATAATTAGCGGGGAGTGCTCAAGTGCAAATGTTGTAGGTATTTTACGGATAAGCTTGGAGTATTATAATTGTTCATTAAATTGAAACAGGCGCGTTTGTTTGAGTGAGTGCAAAAGACTATGAATAAGTTGGGGTACTATTAAGCTAAAACAGGTGATTCCGCCCCGGGCGTTTATGTTCGCGTTAGTGTTTTCTTTGTGTTTAGGTGGGTTTGCGTTAGTGGTTGCGTTTTGATTTGGTTCGTTTTTGTTCTTTCTTTTTTCGTTTTTGTTTGTGTTTGGGTTTGTATTTGTGTTTTTGGTTGGTTTTGCGTTTGGCTTTGGTTTGTTTTCGTTTGCTTTTTCGTTGTTTTTTTTTTTGTTGGTATTGGTGTTTGTGGTTGGGTTTGTTGTTAGGTTTTTGTTTTCGTTTGCTTTTTTGTTTGTTTTTTCTTTGTGTTTGTATTGGTGTTTGTGGTTGTGGTTGGGTTTGTTGTTAGGTTTTTGTTTTCGTTTGTATTTGTAATTGTGTTAGCGTTATGTTGTCGTTTTGTTGTTTTGGTTTTGGTTGGTTGTGGTTCGGGTGGGCAATGCCGGGTTTAGAATGATTGCTAAACACACAGGTAATGGTCCTTAACAGAAAGGTTTTTCACAGAAGCCAGAGCAGGGCCTGGCCGGGACGGCTAGTAAATATATACATTAGCTGTATGTTGTTGCTTCGCTATGATGTAAAATAAATTGAAAGTAGCACTCTGAAGAAATAAAAAAACATACACATTGTAGGCCGAGAAAACAAAAAATGTAGGCTGACAAAACAAAAAAAATGTATCACTCTAAACAAAAAACAAATATACACACACTGCAACCAAAAACAATGAACGCAACATAATCTGTTTTGTAATCCTTGTAAAAAAAATTACATAATAATTCCTGGGACATTAATTAAGACTAGCGAAAAGGGGAAACAATCACTATTTTAATATAAATATGTATATGTCTATACATTAAATTATGAATATCAAAACAACTTTATAATTACTTAATAATCTAATAAAGTAGCTTAACGCTATTCGGTTTTACAAAAATATTTTGTCTAAAATCAAAATTAAATATATTGTCATTATAAATGCTAAAATATTTACAGTATAATGAAAGTGTTTTAAATCAGAGTTGGTATAAAACCCAGCTTTTCAATTCACAAGTATAAAATTCTGATAAATAGCCTACAGATTACCAATATATAGGTCTTGCATTTCAGATCATACATGGTAAAGTTATCAACTGACTTTTTGTGTTCTTTAAAGATCATTTTTACTTTCTCGTATATACGAAGTATAGAGAAAGTCTTGTAATCGTGCAAAAAAAAAAATCGAGATTTTTACAAATCTCGACGTTTTACACCTCACTGATACGGAAAAACATAATTTTGCAATCTTGTCCGTATGTCTGTGTGTCTGTCTGTCTGTGTGTCTGTCTGTCTGTCCGTGTGTAAACACGATAACTTGAGTACCGTTACAGCTAGGTTGATGAAATTTCATATATAAGTATTTTATCAAAATCGTAGAAATGTATCAACTTTTGAGCGATTTCCGATAACCGGAAGTGGTACTTTTCCTACTTTGAATTTTTCAAAAGCCTATAACTTGAGTACTATTTCAGATAGATAAATGAAATTTCACATGTAAGTAAAAGATCTACTTCTCTACCTTCTGTTAAATTTTGAGTAATTTCCGTTGACCGGAAGTAGTAATTTACGCTACTTCCGATTTCTCAAAAAACTAATGTAAATTTTAAAAGTACTAATAATATTGCGCACTATTATGCGCTTTTTTATTTGGCGTTCAATTGGTGTGCAGTTAATTTGTCTACGAGATTTTATTCTATTTTTAAAACTTTTAGTATTTAAAATTGATTAAAAATCATGTCTATAGCTCGAGTTCCCATCCCCTGTTATTTTATATAAGAATATTCGAGAAAGTTTAGGGGAGATCACTCCCGGTTTATTTTAACATAATGATAAGGTATGAGTTAGATCACTGTATTGCTCACACACAGTTTTACTGGTAATTGCAAAAACAATGTTCACAGAGGTTTACGTTTCAAAAGCTATGATCTGGCGACATGGTACTTTGGTACATCATTACGCGTTTTTCCAAATGTACTTAACAGATCAGTTCGGGGTGGGTTGGGGGGGGGGGAGGGTTCAACTACATTCACCACTGTCCGGTCACTTTAGGTCAATTATCCAACCCAGCGTATACCTAGGTGTGACATTAATGTCGCTCTACACAATTGTGGCGGTGAGGTGGGGGGGGTGGAATAACCAACTCAGAGTGAACATAGCGTTATTTTTTAGACGACTGTTCTAAACATACATTATTCAATTGCACATATATACTGATTCAAAAATAGATTTTAAAATAATTATTTTACAGAGTAGTTCATGGGGGGGGGGTTTATAACCCACCTAACACCCCCCCCCCCCACACACACACACACCGCCTGCGCTACTGAGCTGAGCGGATAATTAACTGTGCGATCAGTGTTAGTTAAAATTGAGTTGTTTTTTTTTAAATACAAAATATAGCATTATTCACATTTAATATAGATCTAGATATAGTAAACTAAAATAATAATTAATATAAAGTTGATATTGTTTCATATAAATTTGTAATCGTAATCACTATCGCCCAAACTGTCATAATACTACTACTTCATCGTGATGACGTTGTTGACCTTGTCATAATTTACCCACCGCTACGCAGTTCGCCCATAAGTAAATTTAAATAGAGGTGCCACGTCAGTTGTATTTATGTCTGTATTGTAATTTCAAAAAATTAATTACACGATTTAAACTGTATATATAAAGTAATTATGTGTGAAGTTTTATGTGTAACATTTTCTAATTCAATTATTCGTAAACAAATACATTATACATTTGCCTTAAACTTAACACTAATCTTGCCAAGTGCTACTACCCGTAGAGGTTTTTTAAACATTGCAATGCATCGTAATGGTTATTTTTAGATTGAGAAACTGATGCAGCTGCTAATACGTGTTGTGAACGTAGACTCTACTAGTCTATTACTACTATGCTTAACTGCTGCATGAAAATGTATCTTGTGATTTACAGAGATGTGCCGACTAAAAATAATTTTTTAACAAATATCAATGTTTAAAACTTTAAGTTTAAAAAGTTTCCAAAAAGACGCCACTTTGCTGAAAATGGCCCGAGGGGGAGCGGCCGCTCCCCCTGCTCCCCCCCTGCGTACGCTACTGATGCATCCATTCACAAGACAAAACTGAAACAATCGTCGAGACACTTCACTGGTTGTTCTCCCGTATTCTTTATGTTTTTCAATTTTTTTACTAATTTTTTTGACTAAATACCGGTACTCATTATCAACTACTAAATCTGCGCCTAGTTTTAGTATATTTGAAATACAGTACAACTTGTTTGTATCAATCTTTAATAAAATATGAACGAGGGCAGTTCTGTTTTTACTGTCCACCTTATTGATATCAGCCCCATATGCTAAGAGTTTGGGTAAAACTTCAAAACAATAATCAGTGCAATCTTTGTTTGCGGCTATCATACAAGCGGTCTGCCCTGTGGCATCACTTGCATTCACATCTGCTCCATGTTCTAAAAGTATATTTAAAAATTCAGTGTTTTTTTTTCTATCACTCATTCTTTTGATGGCATAATTCTCAATGGCAATCATCAAAGCATTTTTTCCTTTATTATCTTGCACGTTTACACTAGCACCATGTTCAACTAATAATTGAGCCAATGAATATTTACTTGCTTCTGCGGCATACATCAGAGCTGACTGCCCCTTATTTGTGCGAATTTCCTTATCTGCTCCCATTTCTAATAATACACGTGCAACATCAACACTAAAGGCATGGTGTAAAAGTGTTTCTCCTAATTTATTTTGTAAATTTATGTCACTTCCAAAATCAATCAAGTAATTAATTAACTTATGTTTCTTCATAAGGAAAAGTGGTGTGTTTCCTTCGTTGTTTTGATAATTTACATTTACTCCATGTTTTATCAAAGCACTTATCGAAGCGTCGAGATCGAATTTCGCAGCCAAATGTAGGTTTGTGTTACTTTGTCCATTACTTGCGTGGATGTTTGCATTGTTTTCTATTAAATGTTTAATAGTAATTGGAAGCAATTCTAAAATCACTTTCTCGTAACGACACAATAATTCATCTCCTTTGAGCATCGTGTGGTGCAAGGTTGTATTCTTGTTTTCGTCAACTAACATTACATCAGCTCCAACAGTGAGAAGGTACCTGACAGCCTCAACGTTACCACAATGACGACACGCCATCATAAACGGCGTCTCACCTTTTGCGTTCTGGACATTGACGTCAGCTTTGTGGGCTACAAACAACTCCAAGACATCCACGTCGCCCAACTCAGCCGCTGCGTGTAGACATGTGTTACCTTCATTATCGGTGGTTGAAACATTGGCGCCATTGTTTAAAAATGATTCAGCTACAAGCTTTATTTTATCTCTCCAATTTTGTATTCCATAATGTGATTTTGAGCTTACTAAGGGTGTATGGAATATATAACCACCAATAGCCTGTTTTATGGCTATCGTGAGTGTTGGTGTCTTTTTAGTATCACGCATATTGGCGTCAGCTCCATATTTTAATAAAGCTATTGACATCTCAACATTTCTATGTTCAAGAGCAATCATTAGCTCAAAATACTTGCCCATATCTAAAATCGCGCCATGTTGAATCAACAAATGTAAAAGCTCTGAGTCACTACTTAAAACAGCGACGATTGTTGGAGTGCATAGAGACTCGCATATCACGTTTTCTTCAGTTCCACACATACATATATTATAACATTTTACCCTATGACTGAAAGTGATGTTAACATCAGCTCCAGCTTGTATTAACTTGGCTACCATCTGTACGTTACTGTTCATCACCGCATAAGCTAATGCTGTCATCTGTTTTAGGTCAACACAGTTGACCTCGGGCTTAAGGTCAAGCAAAAGATCAAAGACTTGTTCGTTATTTGTTTTAGCTGCCCACATCAAGGCTGTCATTCCGTCTATGTCCACCATTGATATATCAGCTCCATGTTCTAACAAAAATTGTGTGGTGGCAAAGTTACGTTCTATAATAGAGTTCTTGAGAATTATGCTGTGATCTTTAATAGAGTTTATGAGAGGCGTTCTTTGATATTTATCTACACAATTTATATTCGAGCCTGCATAGATAAGAAGCTTCATCATGTCTATATTTGATACCTTACAAGCATCAGAGAAAAGTGTATAACTTTCATTATTATAGCCCTCAAATTTAGCTCCAGCGTTCACAAGTAATTTTACTATTTCCAGATTATTTGACCTGCAGGCATAATGAAGAGCTGTACTCTGAGAATCATCTGCTTGGTCGATATTTACTTTCTTTTCTATAAGAAAGTTGACGATCTCCATTTGTTTTGACTGAACAGCTTTTATAAGTAATGTACTGCCGTCTTCATCAATACAGTTAACATCCGCGCCGGATGATACAAGCAGTTCAACTATTTCTATGTGAGAGCAACTAACCGCTTCCATTTTAGCCCCAATCAACAGTGCGTTTATTAGCTCAACACTTTCGCCACTGCAAGCGACTTGAAGAGTTTTATTTTTACAGAAATTTACAATATCAAGATCAGAGTATTTTTCAATTAGAATTTTTACAATCGATATATCTTGCAATTGTACGGCCTGTGTCAGCAGTGTCTCCAAATTTCCAACTTTTCCCCTGAGATTGTTTAGAGCTGAAAGTGTTAGCATGGTAATCAGAGCTTCCTTTTTCGCTTCATCCTCAAAAGTTAATGATTTTAAATTGAAAGAAACCCCCGCGTCTATTAAATCTTGGAGCAAATCAATACGTTCATTAGTAAAAGCCACATAAAAAGCGGTCCCACGTTGGTCTAAGTTGTGTTTAAGATATTTCTGCATAGCTTTCTCGCCTTCGGCAACAGCAGCCATAAAGCGTTCATTCTTTGCCATCTCTAAAGCCTCCAATCCTCGATCACAATCAAAGAAACATCCAGCCCTGATCAGTTCTTCTACACATTTCGTGTCATTATTCTTTATTGCTATGGTTAGTGCTGTGACACGAATGGGAGTTTGTATATCTCGTACACGTACTCGAAGTCTAACTTCATTGGGGTCAGCACCCGCTTTTAGTAGTCTTGTTAATGCTAGCAAATTCTTGTCTTCAGCAGCTAACATTAGCGCAGTAAGGCGACTACTAGTTTTGCAATAAATTGAGTCAGTGTCCAGACCTTCAATATTCCCCAATTTAGCAGCTGTAAAAATGTCTGATGGAGTTACATATTTTCCGTTAGATATGTTTGCAAGAAAGTCTAAATCCGGAAAGCTACGAAACTCTTCTGCAGTGCTGTACAGCTAAAATAAAAAAAAATATTTTAAATGTTTAAAGTTTGAAAAAAATAAATCAGTTTTGATAACAGTAATCCACTTAGATGTTTTCCTGATTTTAAACAAGTCTTAAGATGTTAGAATAGTATATATTTTGCAAAATTCATTGTATTTTTTCTTGAAAACGTATACAATAAAATAGCAACAATGCACTGTAGATTCTTTGAATTATACAGCAATACATATTATTGCATCCTGTACAAACGTGTAACTCAGACTATTTGGAGTACCAAGCTACCACAAAAATTGTTGTTACTTCTGCTAGGTTTTCCTTTTTGCAGTTGAAAAAAACTCTCACACAAAGTGTGGATTATTTTTTTAAGAATGCCCGTCTGCATCGAAAACAACTCGTCATATCTAGGTGGTTGCTACTCGAGAACCTACTGCGGAAAAGTTTTTGGTTCATCTAATGAGCAAAATAGTGTGTTCCATTAACGTAAAAAAATAAAGATTTTATCCGAGTTTGTGCGTTATCATTATCATTTTTCCGGTTCTAAGACAATGCGACAGATTAAGCAGAGTTAATTTGTTTCAGAGACACCGGCATAAGAATGAATTGTGTGGTCAGCACTATGTACAGCCGCTTTTGTTTTCCCTAACAATAGTTAGGTACCCATCATAGTTTGGTGGACTGAGGGAAATTCTAATGACTTGAACCCAAATTCGAACTCGAGACATTTGGGACAGCAGTCGAGATCTCTACCACTAGGCCACGCGCATGCGTTATACACACAAACAAAAAGACTCATAAAAGACGTGTGAGCTGGCTAGCACTTATGACGTAATCACACTTAAGAACAAGACTAAATAAGATCAACATAATCTTCTAGAAGAAGATATAACACTTTTTTAGCGCAATTTCCATTCTGGAGAATTGCGATTATTAACTCGACATTTCTGGGAATGGATGTCCGCAGCTTTAAGACGTATCTCCTCCTCAACGAAGCAATATCGAGGACTATTTCCAAAGCAAATATGTTAAGCAAGTTCCGAGGATGATTGTGGGCCAAAAAAATTCCCGGAATTCCTTCCTGGATTTCCCGGAAAAGCCAAAAAAACCTCGGAAAAATGCAGTTTTTGGCCCATATCTAGGCAACCAGACTACTTAGGGATTTGAAACATTTACCAATCGATTCCTGCCATAATTTAGAACAATATTGCCTAAGAAAGTTTTCAAAAATATCCTTTCGTTCGGTCACAAAAAATTATTTTTTCTAATTTGTATTGGCTGAGATTACTAAGAATATACAAATATAGCACACCGGCTGAGGCAGTCGCTAGTGAGAGGTAACGTCTACACACGCTGCCATTGGCCAGACTTGCGCAGATCTCGCGAGGGGGCGGGGAGTAGCTCTGCTCGTGTGGTTTAATTTAAAATTTATATGAGAGTGATAGGGAGTTACAATTTCAAGGTTTTGTTTCGCTAGGCCTAATCATTTTTTCATAAGGAAATTGCGCTTAAATTGTCACTAGACTTTTTATTAACTTGTTTTATTATAGTCACAATATTAACTTTCTAGCAGCTAGAGTCATTCGTCAACCAGGAAATTAATCTCTTCTTCTGTTCCGATATTAGAGAACTCATAAATGTCTTAATAAAGATAATGTAAGATTCACAATATTCTTCGCATCAGGGTCCTAATGCTATGTTTTTTCCCACTGACAATTGTCTTCACACTATTGTGCTATTAGTTTCGAATTCATATCCAGGTTCAAGTCAGTAGACCATCCCTGAGTCCACCCAACTCTGATGGGTACCTAACTCACGTTAGGGAAAATAAAGGCGGCTAGCATAGTGCTGACCACATTATCCCTTTATATGCAGAGGTAAAGAAACATACGAACTGCACTTCGTCTGCTCAATGGAGCATTAGGTCTAATGAGGAATCTTTACATTTTAACACTAGTTATGGCATTTATGAGTAAACCAGCATATAGTTCGGTTTAGTTGGTCTGTTAATCGCGTAGATCAGATAAATTAGCAATTATTGCTTACAAGTATACTCTGTATATAAATATGCAAAAAACTCTTTTGGAAATAGGTTTTAAATTTTAACTAGGCTTAGGGCCTGAGTGATCGTGCTGATAAAACTCATGTCTGTTAAAAAGTCCAGAGTTCGAAACCCCAAGCAGATAGTTCGCACAACGTGTTGACATGTATTACTAAATGTTATTGGCAGGAAAATAAGCTCCGTTCAACATTACAATTAAGAACTAACAAGAAGGATTATGCCTACTACAAACGAATTGTGTCTGTATAGTTAATGGACAGACAGTTAATAATAGTAAACTAGTTGGAGGTGGTGCGTCAGTTTGTGACTGCTGATGGTAGACAGCTGATAGTAAGACAGATGATTGTCAGACAATTGATGGTCAGATGATGGTAAGACAGTTAATGGTCAGACAGCTGATGACATTTAATGGTCAGACAGCTGATGGTCAGACAGTTAATGGTCAGATGATGGTCAGGCAGATGACGATAAGACAATTGATATTCAGACGATGAGCAGTTAATGGTCAGAATTATTCTTTGCAAATGCCAATATTGATTAGTTTGATAACACGGATTTTTTTATAATCAATGTACCAATCATAATTATTAAACGAGTGTATACGTTTATTTTTCAACTCATTACAAACTTTTCAAACCACATTGTTCATTTTAAAAATGTAGAATTTTATATTTCTTGTATCCTTATTTTATCTAACACAAACGTGAAAATGTGTGAACTTTCTATTTTGGGAAGCCCTCAATAACACTTCCGCAGAGGCGCAGCGTAAGGCTGTTGGCTCTTTAAAAATAACAAAGTGCCAATGTGCTAACAGGATAACCCAGATCGCCACATAGACTCCAGAAACAATGATGCAGATTGCGTCATTCGCTAAAGTTACGCAAATCAAAAGGGTTTTTAACATGTATATTTTTTTGAAGTCTTATAAACATCAATGTGACTGAAGCAATTTTTTAGCTTACTAATTATATATTATTAGAATTTCGATCTCAATTTCTGATTGGATCGTCTAAAAATAGATGCTAATTGAATCATTCGCAAATTGACGAAACTGTACAGCGGATTTACTCGCGTTACAAAGTTATTTTTAGAAGTGTGACTTTTATTTTTTATTTAAGTTTCCCTTCTAAACGTAACTTTTTACGTAACTATTTACATTATGTTGATAACTGTAGGCTTTGGAATTCTTTGGATATTTTACGGACATTAGTAAACAACCCAGTTTTAATAATCTAACCTTGGTTAATTTTCCTGATTATTAAAAAGAAAACGTATTACAGGGCCCTCAGCAGCCCGCGTGAGCATCTGGGTCCGAAACTGACAATTTTTGTTTGCAGCCAGATAGCACCCTATGGCCTGATTCAATTTAGTGAGCGACTGTAACGGCCCATCTTATCCATTGTCTACCGCACTGTTTAGAACAAACGTAGGTGCCATTGCGCTCACGGAAAAGCACAGGGCGCCAAATTGAGCCCTGCAGGGGCGCCGAGTGACGCGCCTGGTTCGATATAGTCGATGATTATTGTTGCCCATCGTGTCTTTATTGTATAGCCTTTTTTAATAAACGTAAGCGCCATAGTGTTCGCAGGGGAGCCCGGGGCGCTTCGGGTCGTGCAATCTGCGGGGCGCAGACGGTTGCGCTTCTTGAAGTTTTAACGCTGAGTATAGTATTACTCCTTACCCGCTATGCAGGGCGCACGATTAGCGGATGCCACGTGCTAAGGTAGCTGCTCTGGAACTCTGGCGCCAAATTGTGTGTTGACGAAAATCACTTCCTTGTAGGCGCCACTCATATCATATTTTCATTATTTTGTTCACAGAATTCTTCTTGGGAGTATTCTTATCAATTCCCCAAAGTTTCATGACACACTGATGAAAGGTGTCGAACCGCATCTGACTTTTATTTTTTATATACCGTATATAGAGAAAAATCAAACCCTCCCGTGACGCCACCCCTGGAAATTTGAAAATGTTTTTTTGCGCAGAAACGTCCCCAGGAGCATCTTCAACATCTTCTCAAAGTTTTTTGGCGATCGTGTAAACGGTGTCACTGTAATTTACTTTTATTATTTTATATACTGTATAAAAAGAAAATTCGCACCCTCTCGTGGCGCCGCCTTTGCGAAATTAAAACTGATTTTTTACAGAACCCTTCTAATGAACTCTTTAAAGTTTTATGCCTATTAGACGAACGATGTCAAACCAAAATCGACTTTTATTTTTATATACCGTACATAGAGAAAAATCGCACCCTCACGTAGCGCCACCCTTGCGAAATTAAAAATGATTTTTTTTACACAACACTTCCTTAGAGTGTTCTAATCAACTCCCTAACGTCTCATGGCTATCGGGTGAACGCTGTCAAACCAAAATCGACTTTTATTTTTATATACCACATATAGAGAAAAAACAAATCACGCCCTGCCGGGGCGCCACCCCTGCGAAATTGAAATTTTTTTTTCGCAGAAACCTCCCCAAGAATATTCTCAACAACTTCCTAAAGTTTCTCGGCGATATGATAAGAGGTATAGTAATGCATAGAAGCCACACAGACACAGACACACACACACATTCATTTCTTTTTGTATATATAGATAGATTTTAAAATGTAACCTGTGTTGTCATCTTTGTTTTTATTTTCTTTCTTAGGAGTTTTTAAAACTAGGTTATTATTATTAATATTATTTTTTACTTTCATTTAATCACAACTAACCATGTCCACCCAGCCCTCCTTGTATTTTAAACTCTTGTTCACTACAATAATAATTATAAAACTACATATCGAGCTAGTGTAATACATAAATTGGAAGAACATCACTTGTTATTGCATGTTCAAGCAAAAATATATAATGGAATAAGTTTTGTTTTCTTTTTAAAAAAAAGATTAAAATATTTTGCTGTTTCACATTAACTATAATT